CGCTTTTTCCTGCCGAGACCCCTCTCCACCGGCTGCCAACTCCACCCCTCTTACCAGTCTGGATGAATGGTTGTCGGACTTCCATACAGTTCAATTTTCTGTCAGTTCTTGTTGTTTTTTTTTGTTTCTAAATCTTTGTTGTCCTTAATTTTTGTTGTGTGAGGAGTAGACACAGTGTGTCTACTTATGCCTCCATCTTCCCCGGAAGAAAAGTGTTTAATCTTGACTTTTGAATTTATTTACTTAGTTCTCTTTGATAGGGAGTCAAAAGACTTTCAAACCAAAAATATATTAGGATAAAATTCTATTGGGTGACAGGAAAACATGCATGAAGAGTAAAAGGAGCTGTGTAAAAATTCAGGTGTTAAAGAGCTATTCGTGTGTATTTTTCCAACTGCAGATACCCTTTAAAATGTCATTGATATCTCTTTTTAATTTGGTCTGTTGCCTTTTTTGATTAATATGATTTGGTTTTAGAGTAGTTTTGTATTTACAGGAAATTTTAACGGAAATCCTGGAGTGTTCCCAAATTCCACCCCCACTCAGCCCCTTCTATTATTAACATCTTTCACTGGTGTAACAACTTGTTATAGTTAATGAGTCAATACTGATACATTATTACTAACTAAAGTCCAGGGTTTACATCAGGGTTCACTCTCGATATTGTACATTCTATGGGTTTAGATAAAACCCATAGATCCACCATCCACCAAAAACCCATGTATCCACCATCATAATATCATACAGATCAGTTTCACTACCCTCAACACCCTCTGTGCTCCATCTACTCATTCTTTTGTCCCCCAGTTCCTGGCAACCACTGATATTTTTTTCTTTTTGGGAGGGGAAGGGAGATAAAAAGAGATCAATGTGAGAGAGAAACATTGATCAGCTACCTCTCATACACTTCTTGACCAGGGACCAAACTCGCAACCCAGGCACATGCCCTGACTGGGAATCAGACCAGCAACATCTCACTTCGTGGGACAGCGCCCAACCCACTGAGCCATGCCGGTCAGAGCAGCCAGTGATCTTCTTACTGTCTCCATAGTATTGCCTTTTCCAGAATGTCACTGAGTTGGAATCATACAGAACGGAACCTCTTCAGACTGACTTCTTTACTCACAATATGCACTTAGTTTCCTCCAGGTCTTTGCATGGCTTGATAGCTCATTTCTCTTTATAGATGAACAATATTCCATTGTCTGGATAGAGCAGAGTTTGTTTATCTCTTTACCTTTCGAAGGACTTTTCAGTTTCTTCCAAGATTGGGCAACAAATACCCACGTGCAGATTTGTCGGTAGATGTGTGTTCAGTTTTTTTGATAAATAGCAAGCAACATGATTGGTGAATCACATGGTAGGAACAGTTCCATTTTGAAAGAAACTGCCAAACTTTCCTCCAAAGTGGCTGCACTATTTTGCATTCCACCAGCAGTGAGTGAGAGTTCCTGTTGCTCCACATCCTCACCAGCATTTGCTGTTATTAGTGTTCTGTATTTTGGCAATTCTCAGAGGTGTATAGTGGTATCTTGTTTTAATTTGTGTTTCCCCTGTTGACCTGATGTTGAGCATCTTTTCATGTGCTTATTCGCCATTTGCGTATCTTCTTTGATGAGGTGTCTGCTCAGATCTTTTGCCCATTTTTAATTGACTTGATTGTTTTCTTATTGCTGAGTTTTAAAATTTCTTCATATATTTTAGATAACAGTCCTTGATCAGATACGTGGTTTGCAAATATTTTCTCCTAGTCTATAGTTTGTTGTTTCATTCTCTTAATAGTGTCTTTCGCAGAGTAGAAGTCCCCTCTCCAAAATGGAGTGGGGGGAGGGCACTAGATGCTGGTGGAGAGCTGGCTTCCCCTGAGGAGGCTACAACCCAGGAAGATGAGAGAGTAGCTCCTCTTAAGTGACTTGGACTCCTGCCTCTGTGGACACTGGCATGTTGGGACTGCAGGGGGCAGGCACTCACTCCCAGCTCCACTGCTCTCTGTTGCCACCCGCCTGCTCTGCACCCCTCTGTCCAGTACTTCAGGGTGGTGCCTTGCCTTGATGCTGACTTGCCCATGATTGGGTCTCCTGGTAAACGCGTTTTGCCTTGCTCACTAGACTGCATATATCTTTTGGGCAGGGATGGGGTTTTTCTCCCTAAATGTCATCTCACAGTGCCCAGGAGTTGTGACTGGGCCATTGTGACGATATAAGCCAGTCCATGGGAGGCAACAAGGAGACCAAGTGGGTGAGGAGGCAGCATTGGTATTCAACCTCCACCCGTGTTGGCCGTGTGGCTGAGAACAGTTGTGCATCCTGTCAGAGCCTCGGTCCCTACACCTGTAACGTGGAGGTGCCAGTAGCATCTGCCTGGCAGATGGGCAAGAAGTGGGAAAATGAAGAGATGGTGCTCAGCTCAGTGCCTGCCTCTTGCAAAATCTCTTCCATGCCAGACAGCTGCCGTCAGGACTCTCCAGGCCGCGATGTGGCCAGGCCGGACTGGCTGTCAGTCTGACCTGCCGCAGCAGAGGGAGAAGCGCTACCTCTGTCGGCTTCTTTCTTCCCATCAGCCACCGTTTCCACAGGTGGGGACGAGGGAGCCCTTCAGATTGACACAGGGCTCAAGGCATGGTCTCTGTGATTGCAGTTTTATTCTCAGGGTTCAGTCGTGTGTCAGATGGACATTGCAATCAGTAATTTAGCACAAAGAACTGAGACAATGATGTGTTGTTTATAGGGGTCAAGTTGCCGGGGACCCCTGGCCCAGGTTGGGTACGGCTTCAGCTAATGCTCATGGGAATTCGGTGGTTGTTTGGGGAGGCACTTACCTCCCTACCCAGCGGAGAGCCCCCCGGAAGCTGCTTCAGACTGTCTGTTCACCACTCATCACCCCACCTGGCCCATGTTTTTGCATGTTAACATCTCTGAAACCTAGACACATCTAAGGGTTATAACGTGGAGCATGTTCTCAATTTCTTAGAGGCACATGAAACACTGGTGCACTTTAAAATCAATGCTATCTCAGAGTCCATGGAATAAGGGAGTCAGCGTCAACAAACATTGGTGGGTAAAGCATTTGGCCTTAAGCAATACGCCCACCACTTGTAGATTTGCATTATTCCGTGAAATGGGCTCAAGACCCTCTGCTCTTCTGCAGTGACTGGACTGAACCCAGAACGAAACACATTCTGAAAGCCAGGGGAACAGTAGATATCAGACACTGGTGTTACAATTAAGTCATTCACCACACCCCCTCTTATTTCTACAAGGACTGAACCCAGAAGGTCAAGGGTCTAGCAGGGGGCCATGTGGCTACTTGGTGACTCAGCTGACCAGACCTTTGCCCAGTGCCCTTGGAGGTGGAGTGGGAGAGCAGGAGCAGTTCTCCCCTCTCCCAGAGCCTCTCAGTCCGTTTCTGGTTACCTCCTCCGACCAAGGGTCGGAGAGAAACAGACCTATGGTGTAAATCTGGAAGAAGAGGGACATATTTGGCACATCGCCGTGTTTTTATACTTGAGAATTGGGGACCTTGAACCTTCGCATGCAGATTTATGCCAAATGAGATGCAAATCAAGGCCCTGCTCTTCTGAAGTTCTGGCCCCTCTGTTTCCTAAGACTGTGACCCTGGGACCCTCACTTACCTCTAAGAAATAAAGTATGTGTGGGTTGGGGAGAAAGGAAAGAAAAAGACAGTGATTTTACTAAAATGTACATTTTACTAAAATGTACAACTGGGCAAATACATCAGCTATGCCACAAATCATATGAGGTAAAGAGGTAAAGCAGATGGGGATGGGGAGGTGGGGGCACGCCGAGGAAGAGGAGTGAAGTGGGGTGTGAGAGGTCCCCAGGCAGTAGCCTGGGGCATTTGGCATTTCTGCGGGTTGGCAGTAAATGAATGATATGGAAATGAGCGCAAAGTACGTGCAGTTGCTGGGGCCTCTGAGGCCTAAGAGCATGGGATTCTGCGCTTCCTGCATATTCTCCTTGATTAACTTCCGAACCTCCCGCCCCCCACCTCCCGCCGCCGCCACCCCGCTCCGTGGGGTAAGCAGACCCAGGCGGGAGGCAGAGGGAAGGCGCCCCCTTCTGGCCCAGCGTAGAGGCAACCCGACTGTTCCCGGGCCACCCGGCGGGCTGGCAGGAGGCCGGAGGAGGGGCGCCTGCCGCTTGCTTCCCTACCTGACGCCTGACGCTAGGACTCCTAAAACTGATAGGCGGGCAGCCGCCGACTGCTAGAGGTGGGTGTGTGCAGCTACGTGCTCCCTTCAGGCCCCAGATCGCTCGTCCCGGGCGCGGCCTGTGGAGGCGCCAAGGGTGGGCGAAAGCGTGGGGCCCGCTACGCACCGCACCTGCGCTCCCTGCACAGCATCTACACTGCTACCCCCAAGGCACCCGCGTCTCCCCCAGCGGCACCCCGCGCTCCCGCACATTCACTCGGCACTCCCCACTTCGCAGCACTGAGCGCTGCTGTCGCAGGCGACCCCGCTTCGGAGCAGCGCGCATCCCTCTCTCCACCGCACCCCGCGCTCTCTCACTACAGAAAAGAGCTCCCCCCCGGATCCCGCAGCACCCTCCGAACCCCACCCCCAACAAGGCACCCGGCGCACCAGCACACACACCCCACTCCCACTCGTTGGAGCAGCCCTCACAGGGCCGCCAGCTGTACTCCCCGCCCCCCCCCCCAGAGACCCTGGCACAGTTGGTAGGGCGCGCCCGGAGGTCCGCGGCTACCCCAGGGCAAGGACCGTAGAGGCAGCGGGCTGAGGCCCTCCGCCCCCCCCCCCAGCCGGTGCGCTCCCGCTCGGAGCCCGGGCCCCTCTTGGGCGCCAGCGCCCCGGGGCGGAGCCGAGTGCAATGGGCGCGGAGAGGGAGGCAGGTGGCGCAGCGGCGGCGGCGGGGGGCAGGGGGTGGAGGCGGAGCGCGCGGGGCGGGGGCCGCGGGGCCCTGTGAGACAGTCCGGCGAGCGCGCGGAAGCGGGAGCCGGGCGCCCGCGAGCCGTAGGCGCGGCTGCTAGACCCGGAGTGGCCGCAGAGGCCAGAGACCGCCCGGGGCGGTGCTAGCGCTTTGTTCTCGCTCCGGCGGCCGGGCTGGAGGAGCGAGCAGCCTGAGTCGAGCCCGGGGTATGGCCCATGCGGCCGCCCCGCGCACCTCGGCCCCGCCGTGTGCCTAATTCTGGCAAGGCGGGAGAAGACAGAGCGCGGACAGCCCCCAAGTTACGGAGGTGGGGACCGAGTTCGAAGGAAAAGCCACTTCAGGAGCCAGGTCGCAGCAGTGCGATTGCCTCCATCCGCAGGACCTCCGGACCGTAAGTGCCCCGTCCATCCCGTGCGCCGCTGTTGCCGTCGCTGTCCCCTCGACTTCGCCCGTGGCTGCTGTCCTGGGGTCGTCCTGCAGCCCTTCTTGCAACCGCGCCGAGTGCACCGGTGGCTCTCAGCACCCCCCTCCCCACTCTGCAAAGTTGGAGCCCGTGTCAGGGTGGGGCCAACCCTGAACTCAGGGCCCACCCACTTGGGCTGACTGTCATCCCCACCGCCATGCCCCTCAGGTGAACTGAGAGCTTGACCGCCGGGGATGTGGTCAAACTTAAAGTGGGAACTGGGTTTGGAAGGTGGAGAGTCCTGCAGGCTCCCCTGACATATCTGGGCTTCCTGGCAAAGGCCCTGGGCCAGGTGAAGGGGACTGGGAGGGGGCACAAAGGGTGACCCTAGGAGCGATGGAGGTGACCTGGCTGAGGAGGGTGTTCAAAGCTCCATCGAACCCTTCCTTCTCTTGTTTTGGTCCCTGGCTCTGTCCTTCAGGAGAGTGGTGGTCAGGAGTTAGGCTGTCTTGTGGTAAAGTCTTCTCAGACACTCCCAGGGGGTCCTGCCCCCTCTGAATGGATGGGGAGGGGCTTGAAAGCTTTGGGGGGAGGGTTCCTGACAGCCCGCGGTGCCTCCCGGCAGCCCAGCCCCGTGGCAGTGATTATGCTCACACCCTTTGGGGCCAGTCCATCTGCGTATAGGGCAGGCTGGGAGCCAGGCTGTGGGAACAGCAGGGAGGAAGGTGTGAGCCGATGTGGGGGGACAGATGGCTGGAAATTCAGCCCTAGATGGGGTTACATGAAGCAGAAGACAGTGGGGCTGGTGGCAAGCCACACTGCGAGCCACTGGCCTCTGAATACAACCCCGGCTGTCCCTCCTTCCAGCCCCAGGGAACTGTGTGTGTGCTGGGCCCAGGAGCCACAGAGAAGTGGGTAGACCCCTGTATGTGTGGGAACCCTTGCCTTTCCTTCCCCCCAAAAACTGTATCCCCCTCTATTAGAGCCAGGGCCTGTTCCAGAGGCCAGGGAGAAAAATATTTCCTTTAAGAATAGAGGAGACCTTATGTGCTGGTGTATAGTGAGCTGAATAATCAGGCCCTGTCTTTGACCCTGTGGCCAGGATACTGCTTCATTATGTCTAACTGGGTGTGTGTTTCCTCCCCTAGACCCAGAAGCAGGAGGTTCCCTGGACAGCCACCCTCAGAGGACAGGGGTTTGCTGGGAACAAAGGGGGATAGCTATTCTGTGTCCTAGCATTGCAAGTTGTTGCAAGGTTCGAGAAACTTCTTGAGGTTGAGACCCCAGGAGAAAGGTGGGCTGTGCCTGAGAGGGTCCCTCTCTTACCTATGCCAGATGCAAGGCAGCCCCTGGTACCCTGGCTGCAGCACAGGGACAGGAAAGTCCTGCTCTCAGTTCCTGGGCACATTTGTTCATAGAAAGCTGGCACTGTGACGTGCACTGGGGTCAAGCTGTGTCCTTTGCCCCACCCCACCCCACCCTTCTGCCCTCTGGACAAGGGAAGCTCAAAAACTCAGTGGAGCCCAGGAGGCAGAGGGTCCATTCTGTGCAGCCAATGCTGTTGTGCCTGCGTATCGGCATTCTCTGGGTGGCTGTGTGGCCAGGCTACTACTCGCGTGTTGAAAGGGAAAAGGAGAGAAAGAAGATAAGCTTAAGCAGTGGGGACAGATGTGGCATTCCATGCTCCCCAAGAGCTAGACAGACGCAGAGAAGGAGGAGAACATCACATTAGGGCCAATTTTCTGGCGGAATCCAGCTCTCTCTGGTGGTGCCTCGATCTGTGTGTGATGGGAGGAAGGGACAGTCACATGCATGGTACCTGCTTGCCCACAAGCCAAGCTACGGCTGGTGGGTTGGAGGATTTCAGCAAGATGTCTCCCTCCTGGACCCTCTGGGGCTGCCTCAGGCCACCCACTGGCCCTTTTGGTCCCCACATTCTTCCTCTGTCACCAGGTTATCCACATAATTGAGTTACCACCTCCAGGAAATCTCTCTGATTTGGCTCCACATACTTTCATTTCTGCATGACTGGAAGAAATTAATTTTCCTTCCTACGCAAGGATCTGGAGACTCCGGAAAGCTGGGTCACTAATCTGAAAGATTCAAGCCAGCAGGGCTGCCACTTCTCAGAGGACCAGCCAGCCGATTATCCCCCAGGGCAGCAGGAAGGGTGGGGTCTGAGCAAAGCATTTCCCTACTTCCCAAAACCTTCCTGGGGCACCTGGCCTACCTCCCCTTTCCTTGTGGCTTCACGAGTGAGTGGTGTTTAGGATCATCTGATTCATTCTCAGCCTGCTATGGCACCAGGATACTTAGGATACTCAGTGGCTGAATTCAACTGACCTGAATTGCCTCCCTTGTCAGTGAGTGGGGTGCACATGTGTGTGTGTGTGTGTGTGTGTGTGTGTGTGTGTGTGTGTGTGTGTGTGTGTGTGTTAGGAGTCCAAAACAGGGAAGAGGCTTTGCGATGTACCTCCCTGGGGTGTGGTGAAGAGCTAGCTGCGCGTAGTAGGTGCTTCATTAAGGGAGCTCTCAGGGAGGGACCTGGCATTTTCGTGGGGCAGCTCTGTCCTGCTGGTTGCCTCCTGCACTTGGCTGCCCACTGCATTGCTCTGACCAGTCCCTGCCGTCTGTCTGCCACAACAGCACTGAGTGTCCGTGCCTTGTTGAGTGGTTACTGTTGGCCAAGCCCCTCTCGGCACTCCCACTCACTGTCTGAGTCTGCACAACTCCTACAAGTTTGGAGGAATCTTCCCTATTTCACAGATGCCTAAGAAAGGTGCAGGGTCTTCAGGCCCAGGAGGGGAGTCTGGGTTCTGACTGTCCCCTCCCTTCCCCACACAGCATGAAAGTGGCCACCTGGCTTCTGACCCCCACTGCTGTGCTGGTTTCCCTTTGCCTGAGGCCCTCCTGCCCTCATCCCTGGCCTTCCTGTCAGCATTCCTTCTACACCTGTGGGGACAGGTGGCTGACTGCTTTGTGTTGACAGGGGTTAATGCCTCAGATATCAGAACTCTTACCTGGACTCGCATCGGGCATGAGACGCACAGCTGTGACCGACACAGAGGGTTCCTGAGGTCAGGGGGGAGGAAAAGCACCGCTGCCCTGGCCAGGTCACAGGTGCCCAAGGCCAGCCCCATCCTAGCTGTTGCCAGTTCACACCGGAGCTGGGAGAGAATCATTGCTGCTCAAGACCCCTAAGAAGCCGCTGGACATTGTCTGGCATCCAAACACCTCATCACATGGATAGGAAGCTTGTCTGGGCAGCTGGTGTCACCTCCCAGACCTGGAAGGAGGCAGGTGGCCTGAACTCTGTCACTTGTAATGCAAGAGTACAGCCTTGCCATGATTTCACTTACTGCACAGAACTGGCTTCAGGAAGTAGCTGCCTTCTCATTCACTGAGCAGACAGTGAGTGAACACCTGTGCCGTACCAGGCAGGGGCAGAGGAGGAATAACACAGTACCAACAAAAACTCGCTGTGCTAGGCTCTGTGCTGGCAAGCTCCCTGGCACTTGACCTCATAACGACCCTGAAGGGGGGGTACCCTGGCTGCTCATTTTTCTCATTTTCCAGTCAGGGATGCTAAGGCCAAAGAGGCTCAAGAGAGACAGGTGGGCAGGCTCCACACTGCTGCTCCCGTAGGGTGGAGGTTGGCCAGGCCCCTGGAGCTTTCTCCGTTTGGACCCCTGAGGGCCAGTGCGGGGCCCCCGGGCATGTGCTCACTCAGAGCCCCTGGAGATCAGAGGTGCACCCAAACCTGAAGCCACTGCCTGGTCCAACTAGGGACAGGAGGAGGCTGGGAAGTCCTGATTGGTGGGTATGGCCTTGGAGAGTCAGGGCTCACTGGGAGCAGTGCAGAGGGGTTGGCGGGCTCTTTTAGGGACTGTGTAACAGCCTCTGGGAGATTGGGCCTTCCAGGTCCTGGCCAGGCTGGGCAGGCACCACGCTGTGTATTATAAGAAATCAGTCACTCACTGGCTTATTTTGGCTCATGCTTACGGCTCTTGGTCTCCTTGGGACTATTTGGAACAATGAAACGCACCTCCAAATCTTTTCCTGGGGTCCTGCCCCCAGTCTTACAGGAAAAAAGAGCAGGTCTGTTTCTACTTCTGTGGTTCCCCAAGGCTGAGACCTCCTCCCCTTTACATGGGGCCCAGATAAGGCTGAATGGAGGGCAGGGACTGCAGGAGAAGGCCCAGCCCCCAAGTGCCTCTGAGGGCCGCCTTTAGCCAAGAACACTAATGCAAGCAGGGCTCTGCTGTCTGGAAAGAAATTCCTGGAGTGGAAGCCGCCCTTGCAGCATCAGTGGAAAGACCCAGGCAGAGACCTGGCGTTCAGGATGGAAACTTATGATGATGAAAGTGATAAATAATTGGTACCTGGTTTCTACTTGTGAGTTCACAGCCAGACCCGGGACTCGGGGCGTGGGGCTGGGCTGGAGCCTCAGGCATTCAAGAACCAGAATGCACTTCCCGCCACGCTGTTTGCAGCATGGTTTCCTGCAGTAATAAAACAGAAGTTAAGACTTCTGCTTTTTGTAATTCGTGGGACCTCACGGTGAGCCAGATGTCACTGGAAGGAAAACAAAGATGCGTAATAAGGAAGATGTCTCTTCGCCAAGGCGCCAGCGCCCCCTCTGCTGCTCAGCCACACGCTCTCAGCTGCCTGCCTCCGTCCTGTGCGCTGTCCACATACACTGTCAGCCTTCCAGAGCCTGAGGTGCTGGGAGCCACCCAGGCTGCCCCTGGGGCCGGGAGTGTGGCAGACACGGCAGGAGGAGGTCTGGAGAGGATGTCCTAACCCTGGGGCATTCTTCTGTTTACTTGAGCAGAGGAAAGTCCACAGTGAGGGCAGGGGGGAAGGAGGACGGGCAAGACAACAGACCTCTGGACCTCTCAGGGGCGGGTCAGAAGAAGTCCTCTCACGCCAATGGCCCTGGGTGACTGTGGGACTCACAAGGAAGCTCTCTCCCCATGGTCCTGACC